AAGAATTCCCCAGCCAGCATGGGTGGCTGGGGAATTCTTGGAATTGAAGTCCACTCATCTTAAAGTGGTCAAGTTTGGACAACACTGCACTACATCAACTTATCCTAAAATGGTTTGTTTAGCAGACTAATTCTAGTCAATTATGTTAGGACTTGATTCTTAAAGGCACAAATGTCTCTGCTTCCTCCGTCACTGTAACAGCAAAACACTGTGGGGGGAAAAGAGCTTGCAGACTTCCTTTCCTTTCTTTCAACTGTGAATTATTTGTGATGAATCTTTCTGTTGCCAATAAAGTGTCTGGAAAGGCAGAGACTTTATTTGAAAGAAAAGAGGCTATGAAGCAAGTAAGATGCACTCAGCACGCAAAAATAAGACTAATGGTGATGTAACAACATCAGCTGAATCACCTGAGCACGAAGTGAGTCTTGTTGTCGTGAAGCAAAATGTGCACGTTGGCTGGTGAGGTCATGTGTGTCCGTGATGCCTCTTAGCCTAAAGTTGTTTGTGTGAAGCTTGGCGAGTTAATTTGCCTTATGGTATAGCAGGGATTTGTAACCTCTTTAGACTAGGGGATACAGTTCCAACTTTACAGCATGTGATGGATTGATTATGTGCTATTGAGTTGGTGTCAACTCTGAGCAACCACATCGATCATCTCCAAGATCATCTGTCCCAACTTGGCCCTTCAGGCCTTCCAAGGGTGCACCCACTTCTGCTGTAATCAAGTCCATCCACTTTGCTGCTGGTCATCCTCTTCTTCTCTTTCCTTCCACCTTTCCCAGAATCATAGACTTCTCAAGAAAGCATGTGATAGGCACTATCTCAAAATGGTTTCTATGACCCATTACTGAACACCACTGAACTCTTCAATATTTTCTTTTGAATAAGCATGCATGGAACTGAATGCAGACAAATTTTGCTAGCATTTTCTTTTGACAAATATTGGTTTGGGCAAATCCAACCTTTCCTTACTTTTACTTCCTTACTGTAGTTTGGAATTCTGATGCCAACGTCTTGTAATCTGGAAGGGCTTTGGATGATGGTACATAGAAAATCATATCAAGGCAATTTCACAGAAATAGATCATATACTTCCCCCCTACCCAAGGTCTGCCTTTTGGGAGAACCGATCAGGAAAACTGATTTGAAAACAAAGCAGAGAAGC